AACAAGCGCGCTTATCAACACTACCTCGATGTTTTTAAAACCCATCTCCTTCCTCAGCATGCGTCAGGGGTCGTCGTTGCAACGGCGGCGGTGGCTTCGGCAAGCTTCCGTTCGCCCCGCAGCCCGTCGGGGACTCGCCCTCCCTCGGCGACCAGCTCCTCCGGCCCAACGAAACGGCTGATGATTTCGCCGGGGTCCGCCCCAGCCGGTGTGAACAATGTCTCACAAATACGAAAACGAACGACACGAGATTAATGTTCGTCGGTTGTTCTAATCCTTTCAGTGACCTCTCTCGGCTTCGAACAAATGTCTGTTCGGCACTGTCCACTGTTGTGTTATTCCAAGGCGGGATCACTAAACTAGCCCACCGGCCAAGCGATTTACTATCTCATTAGTCTTTCTCAATTATAGAACGTAATTTTACTTCCGCTAATTATCTATCAATCCGTGGCGAACTTGATTCTACACTCGGCGGCCTCACTTATTCCAAACTGCATTTAATAACTACAGGAAATCTCTTGGGCGCATCACAGCCTCGTCCGTACTTCACTGAAGCCTCTCCGCACGCTACTAACCGTCGCTCGCATCGCCGTTTTCCCCGATTTGACCGTTGGTGGCGGCGGCGGTGTTACTGCGCTCATCAACTCAAATGTTTTGTTTTAATTTAGAATTGGTGATGAATTTAATAGTTCTTATTTTAGGAACGTTCTTATATATTTTCTCAAATAGAGTGTAATGGATCACCTTGGAGTTAACCGAACATTAAATACTTCTTTTGAAAAAATATATTGGTTAAGTTGCAATACAATCACTTGAATACTATTTAAAATTTTAAAATAATTACACTGGTCAACAGCATTTTATAACCAAAAGCGGAATGATGTTCAAAGCTTAGACGTGGACCTTAATTCGAATATGAAATAAGTTTTTGGCAACGGGCTCAGTTTTTTCTTCATTTAATTATTCTGCAGATTTAATTGTTCACGAACAATCGAAAAGCGAACAAGAAGTTACTATTCATGAAAATGAATTCATAAAATTCATCTCTACAAAACCAAAACGGTTTGGCAATATTTCTGATACGTTATACTAGAATGGATAGAATCGCGTTGTATTTCATGTCGGTAGGTCCAGCATTCTCATAGATTGGAAAGTGCTTCGATGTGACTGCCTGTTATAGATTGGTGAAAGTTTGTGCTTTGTATTAATTTAGAAGAAGAAAGCCTCGAAACGTTGTAATAGCCTAATTCATTTTGTTATATCTGTAGAGTTAACTATGAATATGCAAAAACTGAACCTTAATGCTCTGATAAGGAAGTGTTACCAACTATTTTTTCCGGTGTAACGTTGATGACCAAACCCTGAAATGGACCCCCATATATATGCTGTGTCTCTTCAGTTATAATCCGGACATGCTGGTTAAACGGTACACAAGACACGCCATTTAGACTGTCTTCTGTAAAAAATAGTTGAAATAACCTCAAAAATGAAGAAAATTGTGAAATATCCTAAACTACTCTCTGATATAATGTACTCTATAATATAATACCCTATTATACTCTCTGATATTAGGCCTATATGTCACAGGGAAGAATATCGTATCGCTGCCGCCTGAGAATATGAAAGTGATTAAAGGGTAATGCAACAGGAACGAACATTTAAGCAAAAGAGGCGGAAAAACGGAGAAAGCTGACGGAAGACTGGGATATTTACTAACTACACATTTCAAGACTCCTTTGACTCAAATGAACCACATTTTTGTCTTAAGGGGATCTCAACCATCTTGTTCACGATTTGAATTTGTTGAATCAACGGTCTGAACTTCTAGCTGCGCGACTATAAAGATGGAATCTTTCCCTTGTAGGAAACTGTTTTCGCCAAAAGCTTTTTTTTCAAATATTTCTCCAAGTCACAAATCTTTATATAGTAATATCGAGTCCATTATGAGTTCCACCAGGACATTCCCCAAATGGAAAAGCGTTATCAAGGCAATTTGAATGACGCATTGTTGTCGGACTTCTGCTGGATCTTCGTAAGATGCAAAGGTATGACGAGGCGAAGTATCCCAAAAAACCAGGAAGGAAATAATTTTAAATTTGTTTCGACATTTTTCGTAACACTTACGTTGATGTAGTTAATGTATACTTAACATCCGTTGATATTAGAGCGTGCTTTTTTTGCCAGATAATATAACACAGGGAGAATACACATTTGCAAATCACGAAAATTACATGAAAACTGAGGTCATTCAAGAAATTCTGAAATTAGATCTGGATTGAGAAGCATATTATTTTCCAGAAACGGTGTGTCGTGTGGTCGTTACAGAAAAAACAGCTTTTTTGTAGACCAGAGGTCTAAGTTAAAACCGAAGTTAAATATTGTACTTGTGCATGAAACTGTATAAGACATGTAAACGAGTACATTAAAATACAATAAGCAGTTTTGGAGTTATTGCATCACGAGTAAAAACATGTTAGATTAAATACAGAATTTCAAAATTTAAAAAAAAAAACTTTCAAATTATTTTTCCACTTAGGTTTAAACAAACCCCAATCCTAAAATAATGGGAATGACCGCCTTACTGGCATTTTTCCTTCTCTTCACGCCAATTCTCAACACTCAGTCTTTCCAATGCCTCGCTACAGCTTACGCAGAAAGGAGGAAATATTGTGTTGCTGCCGGAATACTTGGCGAATTTTTGACAGAAAAATTCACGTTGTCAAGCGCTAATAAAGAAACATTGGATACATCTTATTCCTATATAAAGCAAATTACTTTCCTTAACTCCTTATGTTGTCAGAATACATGTTTTGTGGGTTCTTAGTACCGAAAAATTGATTGACGTCACAACGACTGTCCGTCTACCTATGAACAATGCTAGCGGCTAAACTATGAGCAGTATTTCCACCAAAATTGATATTCCGCAATCAATCTAGTAGATGTCGAGGTTCCTTGAATTTGAATCGATATTATCACTTCTGAGAGTACTTAACATTAAGCCCCTGGAACACATTCAAAAGTTGCAAAAAATAGCACCAATTATTTTGTTTAAATTTTGTCCTTGCATAACGTAAGAGTCGCTTCATAGAATTGTGCAGGATCCATTTTCGGTGAAATCCTTGTTCTTTTCTTACAATTTGTAATTCACGTTCTTAGATTCCTTCCCACACTACAATTAGATTAAATATATATTTTTACTTTCATTCGTTTAGAGTAAAAGAGAAATGCTATCTAATACCGCGAGCATAAAAACGCAAATTTTCGTCAGAGCTTGGTAAAAAAAAATGGATTAATCCAGTTCCAAAAATAAAGAAAAAACAAATGTTGCTGCCAAACAGGCACACAGACTTTTCGCTACTAGTTTTCTAATATCGTAGTTCCTGATCTACATTTTGACTTTCCATAAAACTCTTGCCAGCTGCTACCTATCGCCATTAAAGCTACTTTTATTCAAAAATTTCCCAAATTTTTCGTGTCAGTAAAACCGATAAATAAGTGTTTTTGTTTTAAAGGTAGCATCAAAACCTGGAAATAACGACCACGATTGCAAATTTAACGTATGGGTGAACAGCAGACCAGCCAAGAGGAGACCATGATAAAATGTCGAAACGTGAGCAACACGCGCACATCGACGCGCATTCCCGGACCACCAAGATCATCATACCCACATTGAAGTTTTAGGAACATATGACCATTTAAAAAAAAACAAACGTGCAATTGCCATAACTTCCCAGCTCTAGTTATAAGACTATTATTTCATTCCACGCCAGTTGAATGACTGTTTTCCTTCACAGCGTTTTGTACATCGACTCACGGATGTTTTATTGTTGATGCGTTTGTGTGAAAATTAGTCGCTTTTAAAGAAATTGCATTTGGTTCGAATATTCTACATCAATTTACAATTCGAAAAAATGTTTAATACATTAAATAAGAATCCAGAATTTATTTGACTGTCAAATAAATTATTACTTTAAATGAACAATTTGTAAATTTTGTTGAATAAAATATTATTAATACAAAATTATTTTTTATTTACAATATCTTGGAGTAACTTAAAGTATTTTAAATTACGTATGTATTTAGCACAACTAATCAAAGTATTTTGGGTATGTATTAAAACTTAATTATGAAGTATTTGCGCGAAGTATTTAAATACAAATTTGAAGTATTTTGCTCAACCCTTAATGAGTTTTACAAAAATTATTCTGTTCAGCACCCACTAGCTTTTTAATATTTTTTGTATTTAGAGAATAAATGCGTGCTAAGGCTGGGTCGACCAAAGCCGGTATTTTAAATCAGTAAATCGTTAAATTTGAAATGTTTATTGTAAATAAATTACCCAATTCATTTCTGAATAAAATGTAAAAATTCATTTTAATTTTTATAGAAATCCACAATAACAACGTAAGGTTTTGCGCACCAAAATACTGCGCACAATAATTTACTGGAATGATTTCAAAGTGTTTGTACTAATTATGAACATATAGCTGTAGATATAACACGACATTTACGTTGTAAATATTACATCAGAAATTAATTGTTACTAAAGGAGTCAGTGATTTCTTTGTCTAGATAAGATTATTCACCATAAAAAATATCTATTTTTTTTTAAAAAAAATATTGATTTTGTATTAGTTATCTGTTAGAGTAAAATGAATATACCTAGTATAAAAATTGGTGTACGATAGAATCCGTTTGCTATAAAGTTTAATAATATTCACTGTTCAAGATTCATTGGTTATTAATAAGTTATAGTTCATTACCTCAAAGAAATTTCATTGAAGCAGTTACGTTCTTGTTCAATCCGAAAATAATTTATTAAATTTCGTTGGAAAAAGATCTTCTATACCTCACATCTAGTTTTGAAGCTGATACACAAAAATAAATTAACGTAAAAATATCAACATAGTTTCAATTATGTTAATTAATAAATATTTTAAATCATATTTCAATTGTTTTTTGGTTTTGAGCTCTTTTCCTTGGTTCCAAGTGACTTCAAAATGCAAAACGCCCGTTACCAATCACGTACCGCGAAAGGCCACAGTCGCTCTAGTGGTTGTTTTTATCACTTCAGTCGCAGGGGAGTAACGAGCTGTGGAAGACGACTCCTGAAACGAGTAGTTCGTGAACGTGTGTTGCTGCGGTATTGTCAGAAAGGTAAGCCTCTTTTCCGTTTTATGTTCTTAACTACTAGATTCTGTGTGGGAAAAAAATATTATGAATGTCAAAATTATTTTAAGACGCAGTGCACGAAATGCGGTTTTACGTGCGTAAAACTTCTAAATTGCGAAATATCTAAATTAACAGTTCTTTCGTATTGACGTCTTCATTTACAAACAATAGTATTACGACACTGAATTTAATCGATTTACTTCAGTACAAGTATGGTATTTCTAGTTATTTGATATTTAATTTACATCCCTTTACTTGATGTATTAAGTTTCGCTCACAGCGTGTTAAAAATAGTACACGCCTCAGGGGCGCGAGATGATTCCCGCACTGTTTTATTCGTCGTAGCGTAGGAAGGGTAACACTCTATTTGTGCGTGATTCTCCCGTCTCGTGCTTTTGTTACGTAAAGTACTAATTCATTACTTCATTATTAGTAAAAATTAAGTTTTCATTGCCGAATTATTATGACAAACGCCGCGTATTTGCAGTAGCATACCTGTGCGGTAGCCTCTTGAAAAATGCTTGGGTGGGGAAAAAATGGGTAATGATTGTAGAGTTAGTTCTACAAGACTGAATGGTATGTTACTTGTTTTCACAATGCCATGCTTTGTCATAAAGTAGATCAGGTATAATAATTAAGCTATCTCCTGAAAAGTTTGTTTTGAGAGGTTGCTTATCTTACGAACGAACTTCGGTCTCGGAAATTGTTCTGAAGCCTGTTCCGATCTCACCATCTCGTCATCGGTCTTATCACACTTTTTGCCATGTTTTATATTCCGTAGCTTATTTTAAAATCCATTCTGGTGAGTAAGAAGGAATGTTCTCTCCGTTTTTCTTTAGAGTCGATCGCATTTTTGGTTATTCGGTATCTCGATTAGTTCCTAATCACTTCAATTAAGCTTTAACCATTATAAGACATTTTATACCTGAAGCTTCTAGCATTTAATATATTTATTTCTGAGCGACCAGGGTTCCGGTGCATACAGCAATGGGTCCTAACGTGACCTGATGTTTCTTCGCCTGAAAGTGAGGCTTTCAATGAAAGATATTTATAGGGTTTGAAATCGAAATTAATTAAAGAATATTTCATTGAAAATTGGTAAAGTCTTTTCGGACACACACAGATTCACAGGAAATGATTGAGATGGCCTGCCGTGTTGAAAAGTGTTTTAAACTGTAAAATATAATTTTACTCCAGGCCTTTCGAAAAATTAGTTCTAGATAAGAAAGCAAAGAAATTATCTAAGTTCGCTGCTGCAACAGGTAAAGAGGAGATTAGGTTGAAATCACTTACATTAAGATTACAATTTTGATGTTGGCTTAAATATTTAAAGTGGAGACGATTTGGGTGAAATTACTATCCTTAATAAAGCGCGATTGTATTGTTCCAGGTGACTTCTGCTCAGTCTGAGGAATTTCTGAGTACGTGGAAGGACACTTGCCGTTGCCTGCAGTGCTGACGTCCCGTCGCCAGCGCAGAGGAAACCTTGAGGGGAAAGGGGGCGAATTTCAGTAGGCGACTAAGCAGACCGAACGAAGGCCGATTTCTTTACAGCCAGTAACACGGT